TTTTTTCTTTGTTTTCTATTTTCATCACCTTTAAAACTTACAAAAAACTGTCTTATATACTATGTAAAGGTCATTCTACGTGCCAATATTGACAGTTTATGTGTGTTTCAAACTCGGACACTAAAGTCAGCTCAAGCATGTTTTATTCTATAGTTAATTCAAAGCCAAAAAACAAAAAAAAATCAGGCTAACACAATTCTATTGACATGTCTACATGTATTTCAAACTCGGACACTAAAGCACGTTTTATTTTATTAATTAATATTATGCACAATTAACAAAAATCGAAAAAAAGCATCAAGTTAATACACTTTTTCTCTATACACCAATATTGAACTGTTTTAAACTTAGATATTAAAAGACAATTTGAATGTGATTTGATTTTTTCTTTTTTATGAAATGTATAATAAAAGAAATATTAGTAACAGTTGTAATAACAGAAATGTTATTATAATTGTAATTGTAATGGTTTGAATTTGAATAAAAAATTGAACATTATATAATAATAAATATTAATAACATACTAATACTAATACCATATTATACAAAGTAAGCCATTCCCATTGAAATTGTGAAAATATTAATTAATTCACAAAGATGTGCTTCATGATTTTACATTTTACAAAAACAAAGTGTTGTATAGAAATACTTAATATTTAATATCAAAGTATTTAATATAATGTTTAATATTTAATATTAGATCAAATTTTGATTTTTTGGAAAGCATGAGATCAAAAAAATCAAGTGAATGTTTTGTATGATGTTGAAACAATCTAAATGTCAACAACTTTGAGTTCTCACAGAAAAAAATAAATACTCTAATAAAATAAAACCCTAATAGAATCATTATTTTAAATAATTAATCCTAAAAATTAAGTTAAACTTTTAAAAACAAAAATGTTGTTTTATTTTCTTTGTTTAAAGCAACTTACAAGCATAATTCCTTGGTAAAAAAAAAGCCGCATTTTATTTTCTTTAGAAAGTAAGCAAAGATTGGGCCAACTAGTGAGTGTTAGTGATGGTTAGTAGAATAATTGCTTTAATGAGTAAGCAAAGGTTAGGACTAATGTTGGTTAACTAGTGAGTGTTAATGAAGCATTGTCTGAAGATTAATTGAAAATATTCTGTGATTGTAAATGTAAGGTGTTAAACAAGCTGCTTAAGTTGTTTTGTAAATAAATCAAAGCGAGTTTGCAATTAGCCAAATAAATATAATGGTTGAAATAAACTGGTTATAAGGAAGCTTTTGAACTTTGTAAAAAAGCCACATCTATTTATCTGGAACCCTTAAAGATTCGTCAAAGCTTTAGGGGTACAAGAAAGTATATTCGTAGACTTACTAAGACTAGCACCAAATTATTGTAATTGATTGACAATAGTAGCCCATATGTGTTAAATAATTGAAAGGCCATTTCACTTGCAATATTACCATTTAACCATTTAATTAGATAATTCAGGCTTTTAACTTAATTGGGTTAGTGGTATTACCCATTGAATAAAATTCGCACACTGATTATCTGATTAATCGAGTGCGATTGATTAATTCGCAAAATTCTTTGACCGGTTAACTTAATCACGTGAAATTTTCTAGCTGAAAAGTTCGAGTAAAGCGAATAACATAACCAATAGTAATAGTATATGCATTATCCAACCTAATTAAAAAAATTGTTCTATTTTTCCTTGTAGTTCTTGTAGTGATAATAATAATAATTTATTTGTTTTATTTGTTATAAATTTGAGCATTCAGATCACATTTCAAATAAAAAAATAAACAAATAATTTGATAAATTAAATAATTTGAATAACAGATAAATTGAATCATCCATTTATTTACAGTTATCTGGTACCCTCAAAATACACCGAAGCTTCTTAGGTACATTTGTGATTAATTGACAATAGTACCCCAAAGTTAAACTGTAATCAGCCATATGTGTTAAATAATTGAAAGGCCGTCCCATCATCATTTTAACAAGAATCAAAAATTCATTACTTTAAAATAAAATAAAAAGATAAATGATTATAATAAATAAATTTATATATAAAATTAGTAACTTATCAATTCTTTCTTTTTAATTTATTAGAATCTAATGTTTATTTATTAATCAATCAAATGTAAATAAAAAGTATTGTTAGTAATAATTAATGGATGGATAGTAATCTCCAATTAATTAATAATGAAATTTTATTCATCTTTGTTGACATTGAGAAAGGAGTCACAATCAAGATCATTTAATGTACTATCATTACTTGTATAACTTTTAAATATAGCAATCTCTTCATCTAAGATCCTACTTGTATGATATACATCTGGCAAAACACGTCTATCACTAGTATTATCACTACTATTATTATCATCAATATTATCATGAATTTCCTTATATTTATCATCAGCATATTTCCAAAGCTCTCCACTAGTTGGTCTTTTTGATGGATCCGCATCCCAACACTTCTCCATCATTTCTGTGTAACCATCAGGCATTCGAGGTAATATTGGTGGTCGTAAACCTTCTTTACATATCTGAAAAATTAAATGATGATTGTGAGCTCTGTCATCAAATGGTGGATGACCTGCAAATATTTCCCACATTAACATTCCAACACTATAGATATCAGATTCTTTGGTGTTCTTTTTGCCTCTAAGTACTTCGGGTGCAACATATGATACAATTCCATAGACATTATCTGATGACTTTTTATCAACTGGTCCACATAATCCCAAATCTGTAATATAACAATTACCTCCTTCCACAAGTATATTACCACTATGTAAATCACAATGAATTAAATTTTCTTTATGTATCCAGTATAATCCACTACATAAATATCTAAGGATTGTAATTCTGTTTTTTAATGTTAAATTTATGTGATTTTTTTGTAAATAATCCCTTAAACTTCCTTCTGATAAATAATTTAATACCATTGCATAATTTCCATTATCTGGGAATTTAGTTATACCATAGCAAGGATTAATCAACCCTGATCTAATTTTAGAATAATTCATTGCCTATTGAATATAAAATCAATTTGTATTATATAACACAGTATTGTTTATTGATTATTTTAAATGAAAACTACCAACCTCATCAAAAAAGCCTTTTCCTGGATTACTTGAATTATTTAAATTTTTTAATACTACATTGTGCCCTCCTAAATAATTAAACGTCTTTTTATTTTCATCATAATCAATAACAAATCCTCTTTTCCATACTGCAGTATAAATTGAACTAAATCCACCTTCAGTTAACTTTGTTACATTTTCAAATTGCTCAAAAGGTATCCATTCTAAAATACGAGATGGCAGAGATGATTTCTTTTGACATTGTTGAATAAAATCATCAACAATATTAATTCCAGATGTCCAGGTAGTGAAAAGACTCTGTAATTGTGATTTAATGCAATTTTCACAGAATCTGTCAGAATATCTTGTCAATTTACACTTGGTGCATTCTTTTGGTTTTCCTTTTTTATGTATTGCATTATTTAATTCAACATCATAAATAAAGTCTTCTTTACAATATTCTTTTTCATTTTCAGAAAGCTCCTTGTTTTTTTTGACTAATGAAAAAAAATAATCTTTTCTATTTTCTTCATCAGAATTAACTATAGCATTATTATACATTTCATTGTGGGTTTTAAATATAAATCCCCTTCTTTCTGGTGATATTAATTGATAATATGACATTATATAAAAATAAATTTATTTATAAATTTTAAAATTTTTTTTAACTTGATTGTGTTTTATTGAATAAAAAGTGGAGAAAACGATTTTTTGTTCTGAGAATAACAGTCTGTTTTTCTATTATTTACGCGAAAAAATACACAAATTTAATTTTACGCACAACATTATTATTCTTTATATTATTTCCTTTTTGCAGAGAATTGATCAAATGGCATGTAACACGATTCTTCCTGGTGACAATAATTCAGATTAACTTTTTATTATATTAATTGGGAGGGTTTTAATAGTTTATTTAAATTTTTCTCTATCAAGATTAATTTAATTGATAAAGAATTTGATATAAATCTTGGAAAGAACAACTCTAACATCAAAAAAAAAAAAAACATCATCACCAAACCAAACTCTGGCGATTGGTTCACCGTGATGTTGGTAATTCGGCAATAAAAGGATTTTAGCATTATTTTTTTTTTCTTTGTTTTTCTATTTTCATCACCGTTCTACGTACCAATATTGACCAGCTTATGCGTGTTTCAAACTCAGACACTAAAGTCAGCTCAAGCGCATTTTTGTTTTATTACGCGTAGTTAACTTCAAAGTTAAAAAACGAAAAAACATCAAGCCAACCATATGCGCTGATTTTGTTTGAACCCCAAAATTTAGTACGATACGATGACGCGAGTCGGCCAATAGAATCAACGTACGTTATTAGCAAATTAATGAATATACTAATTAATCAATCATTGCATTAATTGATAACAACTTAAAGAGATACGTTTTATTTAAATATTTATCTCTTTGATTTAAAATTATGTTGGTTGCCAAAACTATCTTGAAGAGGCGAAAATCAATACCAAAATTAAAATTATATGTTAAAACTAAATCAAAAGTCAAAACTAGTTTCGACTTATGGCAGAACCTTTTGACTTTTGCACAGTTCCGAAACTCTCTAGTTTTGGAAACCAACACTATTTAAAATTCATATTGTGAAAATAATTAAATCGCTCAAGTTTAAGACACAGTCAAGTACACACACACATAATATTCTAGATAAAGATATTTATCTGTCATTTCCAACCTTACAACAAACTGCAAAACCTGGAGAATATAAAATACCTACTGAATATAAGCGAAAACTACTTGGGGAAGAGCATAAAAAGAAATTACAGCGATTGCATCTATTGATTATATTGAGCAAAAAATACTTGTAAAATTCAATGGATTGATAAGGATACTTATCAAGAAAAAGAATTTCTAATATCAAGTTGGCCAAAAAGACTCTGAAGGATAATACTTTACTAAAATCATATCCAATAATGAAGAATTACATAGTAAGAATTTCTTTTTTTATATAATATTCTAGATCTAAACGAGATCCAATTCTTGATGTTCCATGCCCTTTTACATCTTTATTATTTTCTTGAAAGCATTCTACAGTCATCTCTGGTGGTACTATTGTAACATGAGATTCAAGTGATTGGTTTGAATTATTCTTGCTAACTCAGTAATTGCTTCATAGTATACATAGCTTCTGCCTCATAACCTTTGAAAATACATTGAAAGGTATGTTTTACTGGTAAAAATCGTTTTAATTATTTTCCAAATACTGCTACAAATTCATTATTAGTACATGGAAATTTTGATAAGTTGATTTCCTGATTGGTATAATGAAGTGGAAGTCGTTTATGTATATTATTCATTAGCAATTTTTAAACTGTTCAATATATTGCGGAAGTTAATTGTAAAATGCATGAGCTGAATTTTCATGACGAATAAGACCTCTAGAAGTTTGTATCGCTTTTTGTTACAAATGGTGCACAGAAGGTGATAGAAGCTTTGACTTAATAAAATTATGTTTATTTTACGTTAGTCATGTTTTATATTAATATAGTAATCGAGTGTTTATTTACTATCGAATACCTCATTGGTTTGACGGGCGAATGAATGAGAGAGACCCCAAAATCTGCGCGTCCTACATAGAAAAATCACAAACAAAATTTTTTGAGATTAACTTTATCATAAAAAATATTATCATCCTGTGGCACAAAAAGAATAGTACAATTTTTTGTGTAAAGGTTGACAATTGTAGCAATTTGGCCCCAAAATTTATTATAAAAATGAGATCATCATTTTACACAACAAGACATATAAGATAGAAAAAGATCCAAAAACCAAATCCGCCTATAGACACAACTCTACATATCAATATTGACATGCCTGCGTGTATTTCAAATCCAGGCACTAAAGCGCGTTTTTGTTGACCGATTAAAATTTCTATCTTGCTAGATTATCCCTTTACGTATGAAAACACTTTAGCCATCCTCATTGATTTCTGGAGATGGATTATCAAAATCTGTATGCCAATAATCTTGCTTATTTAATTTGAGGATTTATTTGTATCTTCAAGAAGCTGTAATGATATGTACATAACCATTCTGCTGATTTTGATCTTTGAAGACTTTCAATGTATTCTTCCCAACTCTGCTAATAAATAAACCAAATTTTATTAAAAAAAAAATTAATGAATTGATTTAATGTACTTGATTGTTTTTGCACTCTTCTTCATTTCGAATAAGAATAGATGGACTCTGCAATAAAATACAAAATACATTTGTGATAAATGTGCACTGGACATAAAAGATGCTTCGCAGGTTTCAGTAGATTTATTATTCATATTCATATTATTATTTCAAAGAGTCAGAATTCAATTTCAATAAAGTTCCGAGCCCAACGAACCACCCTGAATTTTCCATTGTATATCAAATTCTTCATGTCGCGAAGGTTGTATTAATTATTTTTCGGAAAAGGAATGATCTAATTTATTTTGAACCATGAAATAATTTTTGGAATCAAAGTTAAAACTTTTTTATCATTGTTTAATCCATTTGATAGGATCCTTTGCCATATTTTCTACTGACTTTCTTCCTTTTATTATTATTTTTGATTCTCGCCATTAGTAAATGAATGCACATATTGTTGTTTTTTTATTCTCGTGAATCTAAATTCAAAAGCACAGATAACTAAACGCAGCTGATTTATTTTCACGAATGATTTAGTGGTTATACCCTGACAAAAGTCATCATTTTGAACTTGTGAACTTTATATAAAAACCAAAATCAAGTCTCGCGTACTAGTCTTCCTACATTAATATATATTTCAGACACAGTTAGTAGACAACTGATTGGGATTCGTTGAACTTTTTAACGACTCGTTGAAATAAGTGTATTTTTGTGTTTTTAGCAAAAACTAGTGAAATTGTTCCTCGTGACAGAATTGTCTTGTTTTATGCGTGATTTAACTCGGATAATAAATAACTACTGTTCGAACACAACGCGTTTTTGTTGTTTACTATACCTTGCACGTCAAGTAAAATTATTCTACAGTCAAATAGACTCTTTAAATCTCAATAGTAAACAAATAGCCAGTTCTTAAAATTCGTCGTAATTTCTATGAATTTTATTTTCCTTGGCCTTTAACATTTGAAATATATTTATAAATTTTATTAATAATAACCACGGACATTCGACGGATAATCGTTGGATATTAGTTAAATATCCACCGGGTCATGTAAGCTCCTCACCTACTGGGAGGGGCCCACCAAGGCTTGTATATTACCCAGGAGATAACTAAACTAATATTTAATATCATAATCAGTAATAGATAAATTTTGCTATAATCGGATATACCTCGATTTTCCAAGAATCTAAGAAATGATATAAATGACAAATGATATATATATACACAATCTTACATTGTATAGATGCTAAACAGTTCTCCTTGTTCTATAACTTTCGTATATTAAATAAAAAAGTTTTATAATGTTCTCTCTGTAAAAGAAAAATACTGTAAATGATGACATAATATAATCTAAAGATTTTAAATTCTTTATTCCACTAGTTGAAAATATTAAATAACATTTTTTATTATTATTATTAATTATTATAATTATAATTATTATAATTTAAATGTAAATATAACAAACTAATATATAAATTATGTATTTATATATATATATGTATATATGTGTGTGTGGTGGTGTCACATAAAAAGTATCAAAAATAAATAAAAATTAATTAAATATATAAATAAAATAAACCAATTAATAAATAATTTTTTTAAAAAAACAATATTCTACCATCATTAATATTAAGTAAAAAAAAATAGTAATAATTAATTATTAAGACTTCTTAAAAAAAAATTTTTTTTTTTTTGAAAGGCTAATTAATGTGAAATAATAATTACACAAAAAAAATATATAATTTTTAATTATTCACTATTATTATTAATCTTAATATATTATAAATTATAATATTCACAATCCCTAAACTGTACCAAAAATTTTTCTATTATCATAATATTAGTTATAAAAAATAAATTGTAAAATAATCTAAAAAAATTTTTTTTTTGTTGAATCTTATAAATTTCCAACTTCGCTCATTTAGTATTAAATAATCCTTTTTTCTTTGCCTTTTCTGGAGTAATTGGTCTGCCAGATTCTAGCCGTTTCTTCTTTTCTTCTAATTCTAAACGTTGTTTCTCCAATGCGTCCTTCATATCTTTATGACGAGAATATAATTCTTCTTCAGATTGTTTCAATTTGGCCTCCTTTTCTTGAACCTTTTGTTGGAATACCGTTTTCATTTCTGTTTCCATCTTTGCTAATTTGGCTTCATGAAGTTGTCGTTCTTCTTCCATCTTAGCAAGTGGATTTACTTCTTTGAATACACTTTGATCTTGCTGTACTCCAGTGGATACAAGTTTTTCTGAACGATAGTTTTCGTATAAAACGTCATTTGTATATTCTTTAAGTTCCTCCATGTGTGTTCTATTTCATTGATAATTATAATTATTATAACAATAATAATAATAACAGTTTAGACTTGTTCTAGATGTGGAATATATATGTATATGTATGCATGCATGAAAATTTTTACTAACCTAATAAGCATTTGACGAAGCTTAACAAAATCATTATGTTCCTCATTGTCAACTTCGATAACACCCCATGGATATTTACGTCCACGAACACGACGTCCATCTTGTAATTCTACTTCTTTATCACTGCCAACAACTGCGAATGGAATTTTACTCTATAAAAAATTATAATTATAAAGAATAAAATTAATATTTTTTATTTTATTTTCAAAAAAAAAAAACTCATATTTCATCGTGTCAATTACTTACTATTATCTCACGATTTTCTGCAACAGTTTCAGGATCATCGTATTCATATTGTGGAGCTTGATAGATTTGAATTTTATGATATGCAATGTCATCCAAAATACGTTGTTTGAATTGTTTAATTTCATCCTCGGTTAATGTATCAGATTTAGCAATCACTGGAATAAGATTAACTTTGGTGTGTAATCTTCTCATGAATTCTACATCCAATGGTTTAAGTCTAAACAATAACAATAACAAAGTGTATTGGGAAGAGAGGTATAAGAATCACTTCATTCCGTTCTATTTCACTCCATTTATTTATATATAAATGATCTAACAATAACGGAGTGGTAGTGTCAAAATAAAAATTACGTACGAATGACCAGTTGGAGCAATAAAGTAAATGCAAGCGTGGACACGATTATCAAGCATTTTACGGCGATTTACGCGATTTTCTTGTTCAAGATATGCATCGAATCTTGCTTCAATGTTTTCAAGAATCGGTTTCCAACTAATTTATTATTTAAAATATCATTAAAAAAAAATTGAATGCTAATTGTTTTTTTTTTTTTTAAAAAATATATTTATTTTCTTAATTACCTTTCTTCATTGTTAACAAAATCACCAAATCCAGGAGTATCTACTACTGTAAGCCTTAATTTTACACCATTTTCTTCAATGTCTATCATTCAAAAGTGTGATAAAATTTTCTCTTTATTAAACAATAAAATTTTGAATGAATTAATCGAAATTAATTATTCAATGACAAACCTGCGCTAAGGGATTGAATTTCTACAGTTTTAGGTGACTCGCTTGATGGTTCAGTTTCAGTTTTGTGTGGATAGAGAGTAGTACCAAATAAAGTGTTTACGAGTGTGGATTTACCTAACCCGGATTCACCTAAAGTATAGATAATATGTATATATGGATTATATAATATATTTTTATCAATATATGTTTATACACATTATATGAGAACTATAATTAATATATATATTTATATGAATAGATAATTACCAACTATCATAACTGTGAAATGGAATCCTTTTTTTACGGATTTACGATGTACTTGATTTGGAAGATTGGCAAATCCAACGTATCCTTGAAGTTTCTTTCTAATAGCTGCATTGATTGCTGCTGGCTAATATATATATAATATACAGATGTTATTGGTTTATAAATATACATATATTTATGTAGGTACTTTGCTATGTTTTAAAATGATAAAATATTTGTAATAAATATAATAAAATTATCATTTACATACTTTGGAGTTTGGTGGGCTTGTTGGAGTTTCTACTTTTATAACGAATTATTACAAATAAATTTGTTTAAAAAAAAATCATGGTATTAAACGTGTCAACTTGTTTTCATTCGTGTCAACTTTTTTCTCAAAAGAATAACATATATGCAAAAAATTATAAGCTTACCAGACATTATTCCTTTATTTACTTTGTAAAATTAAATATAAATAGATAATTTTGATAAAATGATGTAGTAAGAAGAATAATGGAAATTTAGGAAATATAAAAATTATAAAAAATTTTAATTTTTTTTATTTTCTGAATCAGTGTTGAAGAAAGAATGTTGCGAAGTTGGTGGAAAATGAACACAACAACAACGAAAAAAATTTATTTTATTATGTATATAAAAAATTTAATGGCTAAAAATAAAAAAAATTGTTTTTGGTTGGTGAATAAGAGTTCAATTGAATGTTTTTTTGGATTGATTTTTTTTTTTAATTAATTTGAGGAAATTTCAATTACACAAATAATTAAAAATGTCAACTAATTTTAAATAAATGTGACAAATAATAATAATAAGAACCATACCAATCAACTAAAGTCTGTACAAAAAAAATAAAACGCTGTTGTGTTAGTTTGTGTTTGATTAACTTTGAACCAATAATTTTAATTACTTACTGTATATATTTTTTTTTTTTTAAATAATTACATTAAAACGTGATTGAAAATCTGTGATACACTAGTTTTATTTTTTTTTTAATTTTTCAAGTCACATTTCAAAAAAAAAACAAGAACGCCAACAATTCATATTGTTATCACAAATCAGGAATAAATAATATATATAAATATTGATAAAATATCACATGATTATTCTATATTTCTCTTCTTTTGGTACTCGATTAATCACAGCTCTTCCATCGTAAGATAATGAACAAAATACCCAAGGATCACAAGAACTCCATGAAACTGCATAAACACTATCCTCATGTTGATCGTAAGTTCTAACTAACCCATCACTTGGCTTACTGATATAATTTTTTAAAAATTGAAATTAAAAAATTAGAAGAACATTCTTAAATTTTGAGAGTTCATCATCATCAAATAATAAAATAATTTATAAGAATGGATGAACTTTTAGACCAATTTACCCAATATGATCAATATAATCATTTTCAATTCGTTCGTCGTCATCATCGTCATCATCATCATCACTGTTATATTGAAATGCCGCTGATGAAATGGAAACGATGCTTTCTAAGTTCACAAGACAATCTGAACTAGAGCTTAAAAATAATTGATCATGAAATTTATTATATGCAACTGACCAAACCCTAATACAATGTTACCAATTTTGTTATTGTTATTAGTTAATTATAAATATAACAGTAACAATTATTCTTAATTGATAGAAATATAAATAAATACCAATGAGTGTGATTTGACATTTCTTTGAGATATTCCGATGTATTTCTTAAATCCCAAAATCTAACCATACAATCATCACCTCCAGATGCAATCTGATATGATTTATTCTTATTATAATCCAAAGAACGTACCAAAATAGAATGTGCTTCATCAATATCAAAACTCTTACTAACAATCAAAAAATTATTCAATTAGAAATTAATCAATTATTATCATCGAATATCACTATTATAATTATAAATAAATGCCTTTGAGATCTGATATCCCAGCCTTGTATTGAGCATTCTTTAGCAATTGCAATTTCTGGTTGATTTGGATTCCATGCACCAGTTGTCAATGATGACAAAGGTCCTGATTCCGATGAAAAGTTTATTTTATTTGACAACTATTTAATAATAGAAATAATTGAAATCTTTTCTATCAATTATATTCTCGTCGCCACAACCATCTTCTTTATTACTATCACTATTATATGGTTACCTTTGCGGATGATAATTGCTGATCATCAAATGTCCAAATATTTATAGCAAAATCATGAATAGATATAAAATGATTTAAATATTTCTTTGTTGGATCCCATAAAATTCTAAGTTTATTCAATAAAAAAAGAAAGGGGAGGGATTTAGACAATTTACTCAATTGTAAATAAATCATTTAACAAGTCTAATTTATTCTATTTAACTTTTTAATATTATCGTCTATTCCAACTTCCATAACAGGTTCTAATGGTAAATACGATCCAATTAGAGTTCTTGAACTGTGTGATTCATCTTCTAAATTTACTTCTTCACTTTTAGCATCACCAAATCTCCACAATGTCGCTTTAGATTGAACTGACTTCATCACAACTTTATAATAATAAAATGTATGTATGTATATGTATTAATATTCTGTGAATTACTTCTATTTACAAAGTATAATCAATATAATCAATTAAATATAATTTACATTTTTTATAACAAGTAAAAAATAGATTACTATCACTTGGACATGTGGCAATATCCCATATTTCCTCTGGATGTTGATAAACACTGCTCGTCAATTCAAATTCATCTTCGTTAAACTCAAGTAAATGAATCTAACTGTCATAAAATAACAATCAAAATTACTATTTGATTTTCAAATAACATTCGTAATTATATTTATATTTGTATATATAAAAGAAAATTTACCTCATTATCATGTCTAAGTGTTTGAGTGCCAACCAAAAACTTATTATGTTCTGTATCAGAAACAACCGCTGTAAGACATCTTGCCTGTCATAGTTATTATTTAATTGTGATTGTTAAGTAATTGTCATCGTTTTTCTACTTTAAATATGAATATCAGTAATAACAATAGTAGTAGCATTAAAACGAAATTGGTAAACTACTTGATGTCTTAATCCATAAACACAAGATCTTCCTTCATTATCCATATTTTTTGAAAATTTTTTGCCCGAGTTTTTGTTGATATTAATATTAATATTATAACTGGTCAGTCCCTGTTCATTTAGTAAAAAATGAGATTACAGGTACAAACAAAAATTTTAGGCCCTGTTTATTTAGCGTAATATTTATTTAATAGTGACGATCCCTCACAATTTAAATGTATAATGATGTGATATGCGCATGAAAAAAAAAATGCAATGCAATGCAATGCGCATGATTTTTTGTCAAATTATGCAATGTTCCATACATAATTCTATTCAAAGTTATTTATATTATTGATAGTATTTTTATGAAATGACAAAATCAACATTTTGTTAAACTGGGTAGAAATTTCTGCTCTTCATCATCTTGCTTCTAAAGGAGATTGTCCACTTTTTCTTTTATATATGATGAAAAGAAAAATAATTGACACCTGAATGTGATTTAATTGGTGTATATTTATTTTAATTTTACAAATTAAAATGTTCAAAAAAAATACCAACAATGATAATGTGGGATTACAATTGATGATGATGGGAATGTGAGAAGCAAAAATGATAAAGTGACGATGATGATGAAACAATTAGAATAGAAGTGGTAAGAAGAAGGCAATGGTAGTGATGATAATAATATTGAAAATTATATTTAGATATTTATTTTTGTAAATTTTAGATATAAATAAAATTTAAAAAAATGCACTACGTAAAATGCGCGTGCGCACAAAATTTTGAACCTTTATACGATTTCCACGGATATACGGAAAGTCAGTATTGTACTGAAGCCAAGTGAGCACCGTTCTGAAAAATTTTTTTTTTTCAAAGTTCAGTACGGTATTCACCTTATATATAACTGTGACTGCACTAAAAATTTAATTCTAATTCAGTACACATTTGTTATTTGGGGCATACTGAAACAAAACCAGACAAAGTGAACAAAAATTTTAGGCTTAAGCATGTTATTATTTATTATTCATTGATAACAATTATAAAAATAACAAAATGATAAAATATAAAATTTACATTTTTTGTTTAACTTTTTGAATTTAACCAATAGTTATATTATAAACGATTGCTAATTAATTTTAACTCTTTAAATAATTTTGGCGAATGATGATCAAGTTCGGTTGATTGTTTATACCACCATTCTATTTCGGGGTTTTTTTTGTTGATTAAATTATGAATTTCTTTAGATGTATAATACTTATCGATTTTGATTCCCTTAATTTCATTATTTTTTGTCCGTGAGAATTCGATCCATCCCACATACTGTATTGATAATCATGTTGAAATGATCTTCCAATTCTTCTATTTAAAAAATTAATTATACAAACCAGTTGTATTGAACATGGACATGTCTTCTAAATCAATATTTTCACCATATCTATAAATACAATAAATTAGTTAAAGCTTAATATGTGTATAATAATAAAGATTTTTTGTGTCCATTACCAGCAAACTGAATTCCTAATATTTTTGAATTCTGAACTTCATCATCTGATAAATCTTCTTTCAACAAATTATCAAGAACGCCTTTCAACGTTCGTAAACATTTTGAATTATCATGTACAGCTTTTGCAGGCGTAGGAACTTTTGCGCATTCAGAATGGCTGAGTTCAAGTCCTTTGGCTTTATGAACAAACCTCAAATCAAATTTTTCGACAACAATCAGACATGACATTAGACATCGTTTCTCGAAAAGGTATTGTTCAGGTGGCGTTTCGTCAAAGTAGACATCCCACATTGCGCGTATTTCTGTTTGTTTTGAAATAAAAAAATCGAGTTTCTTTTATAAAAAAAAGTGACACAGTGAAACTCGATTTAGCAGTCACAGGACATGTCACGTAGATCAATAGGGAATAACCTCAAATTGAATTTCTTCCATAAATTTTTAAATATAATATGGCGGACAGAAGAGGACGGCCACCTAAAAGCACCAAAGGAATTTTTCAAAAAGATTGTAAGTTAGAAAATAATAATTACTCTTTTTTATTCAAACTGTATTGAAATGTTTTTTTTTCCTAAAAAAAAGTACGCTTACTCATGTATGGTTTTGGAGATGAACCTGATCCAGCTCCTGATACAATAGCAGTAATGGAAGAACTTGTTGTTGATTATATTACTGAAATGGTAAATTACTAATATTATTATTAATTTGAAGAATTACGAATAACAGTTAGTAGTATTAGTAATGGTAATAGTTGTAGCAGAATTTTTTTTGATTTATTTTTTATTAGATATTAAATAAAAGTTTTTTTTAGTGCTGTAAAGCACAAAAAGTGGCTAAAGATCGTAAAGTAAATGTTGAAGATTTCAAATTTATTTTAAGGAATGATCCCAAAAAATTATCTAGGGTTGAGGAATTATTATATATGGAACAAGATATTAAGAGAGCAAGACAATCTTTTGATGTAAAGGAAATCGATGAAAATGCTATAAAGAAAAACGATGGAAATGAAATGAATGAATAAATAAATGGATGAATATAGTTGTGGATAAACATTGCTTTATTATTATTATTATTAGTTTGAAAATAAGAAAAAATAAAAAATAAATTGTCATTAGTGTACCGTTACTGTTTAAAGTTTTAAAAATATTATTATCTTGCCTTTGTTTATAATTTTGGGAGTTTTGAGATTTTATCAAAAATCATATATATATATTTTTTTATTTATATATATAACAAAATTATTTTTAAATTAATTAGTAAAGATATTATGTTACATTGATATTGATGAATGATATGATGTTGATGATGTTGATGATGATATTATTCTTTTAAAAATGTTCCATGAAAATGATATTATGATTATGACGATAATGATTATTATCCAAATGACACAATAATGTTTCTTTTTCATCTAATTATTATGATTATTATTATTATTTATTATTATTATTTACTATTATTATTATTTACTATTATTATTATTAATTAAAATTAAACAACATAAGGATGAATGTCGTTATTAAGACGTTGGTGTTGGCAATACGTTTAGTTGATTGATTTTTGAGAGCTCTTGATTTAGAGAATTAAAAGATGAAATTCGATCTTTAGTATACTGTTTATTGTAAATATTATTGATTTGCTGACTATCTCATTGCCAGAAAATAAGTTTAAACTGAACTCGGGAGCTCTTTTGTGATCATTATTTGTGATATGGGTCGATCTGTCAACAAATCATTTATATTTTTGTCTTTAGAATCATCAATGTATACTACAGCTATAACATCAGGTTCTTGATTTTTATGAATATCTTTTGTTGGATTGTTTATCATTATATCTTTATCAGAAATATAACTCGCGTTTGTTGAACTATCATTGTGGATACTATCACTATTATTGTTGGTTATTTGGTCAAGAGTTTCATTATCGGCTTCATTATTAATTTGAATATTATTATTATCAATAAAGCTTTTTATATCGTCGCAACTTTTCCTCTCCATCTTTGTATAGTCGTATACAAGGAATTTTTCTTCCATTGTTCTCATTTCCTTGGAAAGTCCATTAAGATCCTGATTAGCTCGTTTTTTGACTTTTAATGGATTATCTTCCAGTAATAATTCCTCGAGTTCATATGTCGCATCAAAATTTGCTCGCTTAGGCTTATATGGCAAAATAAAAATGATATTAATATTTCATGTTTGATTGATCAATGAATTAACGAATGAAATAATGATAATACTTACATCTGGTACAAATGGCGGTGTTGCTTGTTTTGTGTCAAGCTTATCCCATTCTATATCTTTGAACCAAGGATGCTGCTTGATTTCCTCTATTCCATTACACCCTAAACGTTTTGATATATCACGTTCACAAAACTATTAAATAAAATAAATTATTAATTATGTAAAATAATAATATCATTAATTTATGTAAATTGTATAATTATTAAAATTTAATTTGACATATAATAAATTTATAATAATATTAATTATCGTTATAATATATAATACAGACTCTTTTTATAGCATCTAAACATTCTTCAGATAACGTCATATTAGGATTATCAGGAAAATGAAGAGGTTCATGAAGAATTGCTTTAGTTAACAGTGAATTATTTTTTCCACGAAATGGTCGCTAAAAATATCGATTTATGTTTTAATTAGTAATTTAATTTAATTATGATTTTTTAAAATAAAATTTATATTAAGAAAAATTATATTTAAAAGAAAAAAAAGATTGAAAATTACCCTGCCGAATAAAAGTTCAAAAATTACAATTCCAAGTGACCACCAATCAACTGAATAAAGATATCCTTTTTTTTTTAACATTTCAGGAGCTTTAAACAAATATATATGTGTGTGTGTTAATAATACTACAATTAAATAATTATTTTAGAAATATATATGAAAAATTTGTCACCCATATATGCCATAGAACCAGCTACGGAAGTAAAAGGTTTTTGTTCCTTATAATGAGCTGCTATATTAAAATCAGTTAAATGTGCATGTCCCTGTTCATCTAATAAAACATTATCTGGTTTTATATCCCTAAAAATAATATAATAACATATATGTTAACCATAGTTAATTTAAAGTAATCCACGTCGCGTACGTGTATAGATATATTTACCTGTGAACAATATTTTTTGAATGCAAATAATCTAGTCCTAAGCTAATTTCAGCCGCATAAAATTTCACTACATCTTCTTTCATTCTTCCTTGTCTCTCTAAATGAAATCTTAAATCACCACCTAACATCAAATCTAGAACCATAAACATATTTTCATCATCTTGAAATGCGTAACGTAAATTACATATTAAGGGATATTCGATCTCTTCCAATAGACGACGTTCTTGTATTATGTTCCCTATCGCACGCATTTTTATACATTTTTCTTTATTAATATACTTTAATGCGTATACAGTTTTTGATCTTTTGTGTTGTACAACTCGAACCTTCAAAAAATAAAAAAATCCCCATTTTTATTTTTATTTTATTTTAACAAAAATTTGAAAATATTGGCAAGAAAACTTGTAATTTTCGTACCTTGCCAAAAGCACCTTTTCCTACAGATTTCAATAAGTGAAAATGGGATAATTCAACTTGTAGATAAATAGATATATATTATGTTGACGATTAACAAATGAAATATTAAATATTAAACTGTTAATTTTTTCATTATAATTTAAAAATTTACCTTCACCATCAAAATCAATTGCATCTTCTTTGCAACAACATATACCCATCTGAATTTTTATATTAAAAATACAAATAAGCAAACAATATGTATTATGTTACAATAAAATAAAAATAATAGATATTATATTACAAACGAAAATTTTTTCTAATAAAAATTTTTTATTAAATTAAATTAAATCAACTCGTATGAAAGTACTGTTTAAAAATTAAATTATTATATAACAAAATGATAATAATGAATATGATTGTAAAGACTTTTACGCGTCAAAAAAATTTGTTAGAAAGAAAGTTGCGATCAAAAAATAAGTTATGTAGAGATATCAGATATAACAAATTATGTAAAGATCGTGAAAACCAAAAAGAGTTTCAAGAATAAATAAATAACAATATTTATTAATGAAAATCAGAGTATATATATATATATAAATAAATACAAACAACCTATAAATATTAAATAATAATAAAACTGTCGTTTACGTTGCTCCAACTTTCGAAGAAATTAACATATTGTTATACAAAAAATATAAAAGTCATCAATCATTTAAAATGTTTCACGATGTGGATTAAATTTTTTTAAAAAACATAAACGTATTTATTAAATTAAATGCATGATGAAGTTCCAAATAATCATGTGCCATATTTTGAAACATAGAAAGCAGGCGGTAATTGTTCTAGAATATCAACCAGTGTTTTTCCCACAATTACTAAAGAATCAGGTAAAATAAAATCAAGATACACAATTGTTTGTATCTAGTCACTAATTGTATGTCGGCTATTTTTGTATTATTTTTAGTATAATTATCGTCATCATCATCACCCATTGTCATTATCATTTTGATTAATTCGATGTGGTTTATTTGTACCGTGACCATAAAACAAATTCAATTTAGATTTGACCTTTTTACTGAAATCAATAAAACAAAAATATCTGCTTGTCCATAAAATCATGATTTTATTATTAGTGGGATTGAAAGTGCAACCGATTGTCTTATCTTGAAGGCAAAGAAACTTGTCAGGTAAACAATTTGAGTATTGTCGTGACCAATTTGTTAATTCATAGTCAATTATATTTCAAAGATAAAATATGTTGTTTGTTAATGTGATAATCAGGATTGATTCAAATGGATCAAAAGTTAAAGACGCATGTTTTGATGAAAATATTGGAAGTGTTGAATGATACTAAAAATAATGCAATTATATAATATTTTAGTTTGAATAATTTGGTTGGCTCGAGTAATAATGAAAATTGGATGTAAAGAAAATTTACTTTTAGTTTTTCCAAATTAAAAATTCGTATTCTATTCAACTCATTTCCACATGCCAACCATAAACTATCATTACTAATAGCAATTGAAGTTATAGGCCTTTTTCTTGTTTGTTTTGGATTTGCTTAAATTGTGTTAAGGTTTCTATTCTGTTATTACGTCTTGAAATATCCGGCAATCATTCATATATATTAGATTGGTAATAGATTAAGTCATTTCTAAAACGGCTTGAGGTTCTTGTATATATAACTTTGGTATTTTTTCATAAGAAGAATTTTCTCGACTAATTGCTATCATTATAATCATTATAATCATTATCAATATCATTAGTATGTTATACAATAACATATTTCCAAATAACTATTAGTTATGATAATAATACTAACCTTTTCCCAATTTCCATAACTTTAAACATATTAAAGGTTTTTGGGGAGTGAATGGTAAATGGCGAAATTTATTGAGGAAAATCAGCTCTTGGGGATACTGATAATGTTGTATCAACACCTACAATAATAACAGCGACAATTTATTTAATTATTTTCTAAAAAAAAAGAAAATTTGAAAAAGAAAATAATTGATAGTTACCAAGACTTGAAAATCTTGAGCTTCAAAATAAGCAAATGCTCCAACATTATGAGAATGTTGATGATGATATCCAACAGAAATCCATTGTTCAGTTAGATTCTTAATGCGATTAATATCTGTTGAATCATCAAAACTCATAATCGAATCAAGATCTGCATCATCAGAAGTTGACTCCAATGATAGATCGACATAACGAAATAAACGACATTTACGATCTACGCCGCTTGAAAAAACCTCTGTCCCTGACTATAATCATTAAAAAATCAGAAATCAAGCTTTTCCTTGAAAGGCAAAATAATGTAATGTAATTCCAATAATAATTACACAATTTGTTTCAAGACAGAGTACATCTGCTTCGTGAATTTTAAAATGTTTGTAACATTGTACCCATCTTTCCATCCCAAAATTGCACATTTCCAAGCGAATCACCACTAACGATTATCCCACCTCTAATTTATTTTTATTTGTCATTCATTTACATATTCATAAGAATCAAATGATTAAATGATTAAACGTAAAAAATGAAATTAACGTACTTGAGTATTTTGACTGCCCAACTAATTGTCTCTGATCCTTTTGAAGTTTCTGCAGTCATCCTTTGATCACATCTACCTAAAGAAAAATAAAAATAATTAAAAATTTGTAATATGATTCAGCCTTACTTTTTAGAAGGTGTCATTATTACCTTTACCAACATCCCATTTAGATATTATGCCATCTGATGATCCGCTTACAAGATATTTATCATCATAACCCCAATCTAGTGAAATAACTTTAGCATTTATTCTGGTAAAAACCTTAATCAACCTTAAATCTTCTCTTTACATCCTATCGCCAACATTGTATTTGCATAATTTGGTTTCATACACCATACAGCACCTCCTAATGAATCTGCTGATTTCTAATTTGAAAATAGATAAGAAAATGAATGAACTTGTGGAAGGAAAGAATATAGTCCATGTGTGTGTAATAACAGTAGCAGTAATAATAATAATAATAATAATAATAACAATAAACCTTCATTTCAACTTTATTAAATCCATTCTATTATTAATCCATTTAAACTTCCAGAAAAAAGTCTAGATGATTGATTAGAAGAGGATGTTTTGGTTGATAGTGACGATGATTTACGGTTTATCCAAACAAGAGTTTCCACAATGGTATTAACCACACCTGGAATCGTCTAAATATTCTAAACATGCAAAATTAAATAAATAAGCCCTAAATGTAATCTTGAGGAAAAATTATCAAAATTAATAGAATACTTTTTGTAAATTCAAACGTTCTTTTGGCTCCCATATTTCAATATCGCCATTAGCTCAGCCACAAGCAAGAAGCAACTTTGGTAAAGAAGGCGAAGTAAAGGCCATGGAATTGATGGTTGCGGGTACGTAATCAACGAATCGACATTTGTGAATGAACATTTTTGCAAATTTTTTTTGATCAAAAGATTTTAAAAAATAACCCGACCACTATAGCAAAATTTCAAATTTTAGAATATCATTTCTAATTCAGTAAATAAAATTTCTTAAGTAGGAAATGATCCTTTCCTAAACTATCATCAAGAAAAAAAAATTTTTGGATGAAGACCATTCCTTAATAGTTAACGATCTATGGAAGAGGTGGCAAAATTTAGGATAAACATTAATGTATAATCTGCCGAAACCCTGCTGATTGATTTCTGGAGGAGTTTTGGCAAACAACCTTAAGAACCAGAATCTTTAAATGAACTTATTGTTCCTGAAGATTTGACAAAGACTCTAAGTGGATCAGACTTTTTGGTTAAAGATATTGTCCTGGATCAAGATAGAATATTGCTCTTTACAACCATTACTAATGTCCAATATCTGGAACAATCCCCTTTCTGGATTATGGACGGGACATTTAAAACAGTTCCAAGTATATTTAGACAGTTATATTCAATTCATGGACATGTTGGTAGAAATGAAAATTCACAAATAATGCCACTTGTCTATGCATTAATATCCAGAAAATCGGAAGAATGTTATAGGAATTTGTTTCAGGGATTGGTTGATTTTGGTGATGAAAATGATGTTCTTCTCCGGCCACATTTTATTTTAATTGATTTTGAACAAGCAGCCATCAATGCTTGCTCGTAGAGAATTTCAAGGTGTCCAAAACAAGGGATGTTTATTTCATTCGGCTCAGAGCATTTACCAGAAAGTACAAGCTTCTGGACTTGGTGTTCAATATGGAACTGACAAAAATTTCAGTTGGAAAATTAGACACATTCCTGCACTTGCTTTCTTGCCTCCTGATGATATTCCTGCAGCATTTGATCAATTAAAGGATGATATTCCTCCAGAGGCTAACGAAATTGTAGAATGGTTCGAAGAGTACTATGTGCATGGTAGAACAAGGTGCACATTAAGACATGGGAATGCAATTCGAGCACCACCATTATTCCACCTGACTTCTGGTCAGTCATTGATAATATCAATTATGCATTTCTACGAACTAAAAATTTTGTAGAGGCTTGGCATCGAAGATGGGGTGCCTTAGTAGGTACTACACATTCAGGTGTTTATAAAATCATAAAGGAATTGCAGAAAGAACAAAATCAAGTTGAGTTTGATGTAGAATCGATTTTACAAGGAATACCACAACCTTTACAAAAAAACAGGACTGTGAACATGAAGCACGAATTTGAACAGTGTTCAATGACCGTGATAATAGACCACTTATGGACTTTCTTTGGGGAATGGCTCATAGCATTTCATTTTAGTATTGCTATTCTATTAAATACATTAATTGTAATTTTTTTTTTTTAAAAATAAAAGACATTATTATTATGAATAATCAAAATTCCAAATTTAGGTTCAACCAATTCTTTATTTTTACTGATTTAGTTATCTACTATTAAGTATTAATTCAAAATATTCCGATCATTACTATTGTTATCAGATTTTATTAATTATTCGTATGAATTATTTGTATTTGTATTCATGTTATATTTATTAATTATTAATTATTTCATAATGCGATATTTAACATAAGAAAATGTAAACGTTCAAATAATCATCACAATTATTTACAAACGTTTAGATATTTATTTAACACCGTTAATGAACTGATAATTTTATTGTTGTAAAATTATATAAAAGTTATCTTTATTTGTTTGAATTTTACATCTTTAAA